GTACTGGCTGTACACACTTGCAGGGGAGTCACGTACACTCACTCACAGGCATGCATATTCTTACATTCACCACGTTCCACTCACGCGCAGACGCCACGCACATACAAGACTCACGTAGACATGCGGGGTCTCCGTTCCAGGGGACTCGTGCTCTGTCAGCCGGTGCGCACGTACGCCACACTTCGACCAGTCGCTCACACGCTGCAAGAGCCGCGCTGTAAACTTCTAATCGCGGAACAATCAGAGCCGTGGAATGGTGAAACTAATCAGAGGGCCGATGTTTATAGCTCTATTACTGAACAAGTGCTGCGCTGACTAAATGATTTAGTTTCTTGAGTGAATATCAAAGATTAAAAAGAGCATAACTAAACATTAATGTAAATGTCAAATAATGTGGGGAACAATGTATGATATCAATAGAACACGATCAATCTAGAGGCGTATGTAGGTAAATTGATTCCCTGGCAAGCATTAAATTTTTGCCTTATTTCCTATTAATTATCGTCCCTATTTACAAGTATGATGATACTCTATATTGCGACCAGTGTAATACCGTATGTACCAACTGTCAGGCACCCTCATATCTTCTAAACGGTTTACGATATCGAAATGCAGCTTTTGAACAACAATGCGGAATCATGTGGCAAGAAATATGCTGTAGAGGTATTCTTCGTAAAAGTTTTCATTTCTCGAAAAAGTAATAATTTTTTTATGTTTGAAATGGAACTGTTGAACGTTTCTCTCGAGAACAATGAACACACTTGCCAACCCCATGCCCCGTTACATAACAAAAATCTGCCTTTCGAGCCGAGCCGCGGAGCAAGGGAAGTGCCCGACGCGGCGGCGGGCGTACAGGGTTCGATGAAAGTGGGGGGAAACGTTCGCTCGATAATTACGTTTTTAAATCGTAATTATTATTTAAATGTTAATGATTGAATAAAAAGATGAAAAAATAGAACAAGGATTATTACATAAGTCAAAGCAATATCCGACTGTTTATCGTAACCAGTGTCTGCAATTCCACTTCCATTCTTCAAATACATAACATTTTTGGAGTAGACAGTTTTAACATTCCAGTAAAATATTATTTTATTCATTGTTTTATAATGTAACACTTTTAGAGCGTCCCGAACCAATAATGTTAACCAATAGATACCGGGGAGGCAATCATGTGGGAAAAGTTAGACTCAATGCTTGATTATTTCATTGTTTTGTTTGAGATTGTTTTAAATCCTAGTGATTTTCAGTACCTTTTCCACAATCTTCTTTCTGGAAAATCCTATCTCATGTTTGCAGGCTGTCAGTAAGTTCTCAGAAATTATTTTAATTTCGCGGGTTTCTGTGGCTTACAAAGCTGCGTAATGCCTCTGAAGGTTGAAATGTTTAACGTACTGTAGTTCTTTCGAACACCGGCAATGGCCCACTGATAGCGATGGACATATGCAGTCGTGTGTGCAAGGGCCGACAAACTAACTGCAGTGATTTCTGTCGCTGTACATCGATGCTTTGAAATTTCAACCAGAAATAATTTTAATTCTAATGAAACAATAGGTAAAATCTTTCATTATCCCCGTTAAAATTGATGTTTGTTCCTGTTACCGATGTGACAAGACCATGGGTTCCTGTAGTTACCATTACCACACCGCTCGGTCTCCTTCATCCCCTTACCAATCTCGGCATCTCAAAGCGTCCTGCAGACGTCCTCGGCGTCGCGGCCGTCGTGTAGCAGCCCTTCTGAGCTGTCGCCATCTTCGCCAAAGGCGACAATTTGCAGGGGCTGCTACAGGGAATATTGTCCGTTTAATGTAAAATCACGTGTTAGAAAGTCTAATTTGATTTATACTCAGTTTACGCCAAAATATTAACGTATGATACATCATTGTATTCCTCTTTTTTAGATTTATCAATTGCTGGCGAGAAAAATTTATGCTTCTGTTGAGAAAATCAAAGGTGAACAAATTTCTCGAAAATAAAAATATTTTAATTAATATCTCTACAGCATATTGCTCGCCTTGTGATTCCGCATTGTTGAGAGAAAACTGCTTTTTGGTATTGTGAACCGTTTAGAAGTAATGGGGGTGGCCCATAATTGGTGGGGTTCCTGTATACACTTTGCGCAGTAACCTCAGAACATGGCGCAGAAGCGAGCTCATTGGACCTGACCAGCGCGCACAAGAGAAGTGTTTGTGATCGGTGGACACTCCGACCGTTCGTAGAATTTGTCGGTATATCTTTTCGTGCGACTCCGCGGCTGTCTTCTAGAAGCCAAGCTTCGCAAACAACATAAGGCACATCGGAGGATAATTTAATTGATCCGAAACAGTGCATAGTTCTTGTACAATTAATTTGTTATTTCCCGAGTGTTATCTTGAGGCGACCCCGCTCCAAGCGCCGACTTTTTGACCCGATGTGTCCGTACATCGCACACGTTCATAACATTCATTTTAACGCCACAGTATCTTCGCGATCAGACCTTTCTTAATCAGGGTACCAGGATATCGTGGTACCGAGATGGTTTCGTTAAAAAAAAGGAAAAAGAATTTTCACATAAGAATATCTACATTTGTTAGCCCTTTTAAGGAAGAAGAGGAACAAAATGACATATGTGAAATTAGATTGTGTTGTTGTATGATTGTTTGTGATATGTATATTTGTGGGATCTGTGCCTATTACTTCGGTTTCATTTTAATATAATAAAATCCATTTTACAGTAACCTCTCAGATATTTGTAAATTCAACAGTAGCCTGATAGATACAGTATATCGTTTCAAATGAATTCTTGATGTATATAAACATTTTAATAACCATAACCAGTATTTTTGATTTCAGATTTCTTTTTGAAAACCTCTAGGGTGAATATCAATTTTCTGCGTTTACCGTATAGAATTCATGAACTGCAAACACAAACCGCATGATAGTATAGGGTTTAAAATTATATCGAAGTAGTGCCACGCTGCACCAAAAATACTGCTGTCGAGCGTAAGGAAACGTGACTGCTCTGAAACGGCACACGTGAATACTGAAGCTTCTAGTTACATGACGTCTGCTGTGACGCAAACTGTGAGACACTACGAGAATATAATGGTAACCTCAGGTAAGAGAAACTGCGGATTAACATAATCAGATATTTTCATTTTTTTGTCCAAAATGAAACTGTTTCATAGTTCTTGAATTTTTTCTCGAACGCCTGAATATCTAACGAAATTTTTTACATTTCTCTTATTGTCACTGTTTCATTGCTTAGATTTCCGTCAATTTATTCGTTTATTCGAAATTAGTAAAGTAGATGGCAGGTGGAGATTTTCTAGAATGATATTCTCATACGGTTCCCTGGGCTCCTTGCCTATTTCTCCCTTTAAAGTGGTTCCAAGAAGGATGGTCTTTCCAGAAGATAATCTCATCTGCGAATTAACTTCCGTGCCCTTGCTGAAGTAATTGGGTTATTCTTGGAAGGTCCGCTGGAAGCAACAATCAACGTTTCTGACGTGAAGTTCCATTAGATAGTAGATAATATTTCATCTCGCTTCTTTTCACGGTCGTAAAATTACAGCAATTGCTGCGACAAACTATAATTAATTAATTATACTGCTCTTACTAGTTTAAAGTTGATAATATATTTTATTTACTTCGCAAACTGAATGCACTGTGTTTATGATCCAATAATATTAAGAATAGATACATTTTGTATTTTTAAGTACTTGGACGTTACAGATCAGAACGAATATATTTATTGTTTATCGGAATATACGAAAATTGTGTATATTCATAATCACTATTTACTGTAAAGCTTTCCTTTATTAATCTAAATTTGTCTATAGGTATACTATAAAAACTTTAATTCTCCATATCCAACTTTATTATATTGTCTATAATTTTCCATTTACGTATTCTTCATATATTACATTGTACAACGTGGTAAAATCTATCCCAATTTTGGAATAATTGGATTAGTTAGTAATGTAGTTAGGTTAAAAGAGTATAAATGAAATAATCTCGTTTTCACTATTTTTTTTAAGTCCTCTAGTAGGTGGAATTACTTTTTACTTTTGGTTTAAAATGTACGGATTTGAAAACGTAAACGTTTGTTAAATTTCAGATATGATATATGCTTGTTAGGTTAAAAGAAAAATGTATTTTTCTACATCGACTGGACGATTTGTTTGTTTCTTGACTTATACTCTTTTAACATAATTCATTTTAGTAAGCAGTCTGTGTAAAAGTAATATATTTAGACACATTTTCAGAATATTACTTAATATTACTTACTAATATTGTACTAATTACTGCCATATGCAATATTTATGCTAAAAAATTAAGCGAGGGCCCGTAGCTTAGGATCCCCTCGAGCGGAGAAGAAAAAATACGTCGATTTTTTTAATAATGGAGATTATATGTAAACAAGTTGAAAACTGAAGCTTCGCCAATGATATTAATTTTCCATCCTCACTGAATTAAATAGGTATCAACGAATAACACGTAGACAATTATAACATATAACATCCAGACATTCATCGAAACATTTTTCATTTATCTAATGTACATGTGGGTAGCACGGCAAGTAAACATTTAATGCAACGACATTCAACTGAGAGAGACCAACACGGGATAAACATTTTATAACGCTGCTTTTTTTATTATTAAAAAATGTAACACTCTCAAGAAAAATGTGGTTGGAGTGGTAGAGAAAAAAAGAAAAATTGTTGCCCCGTGGCCCTCATTTTTAGTAATGACTGAAAGAGTTCAAATTTCATAACCGGGTTTCGCGAAATATCACGTGTAGATCTCCGTGAGTGCATTTGCCGTTCTTCCCCCGAAAGAAAATTCTGGCTACGGCAGTGGAGTGCGCAGTGCATACATCAGCGAATGCACGGAGATGCTCGGGTACGGTGCGCGGGCGACGCTACGGCGGTGGCGGCGCCGCAGCATCCGAGCGTGGGCGGGCTGTCCGGGGTGGCCAATCGATGCGTGAGGTAGTTGCAGCGGGCGCCGCTCTGCCGCAGGGCGCTGGTCTCCACGGCGATGGCCGCGCGCGAGCCGCTGCAGTGGCGAAAGCTGGCGGCGGAGGGCCTGGACTGCGACTACTGCCTGCTGCTGCCGCGCGCCCAGGCCGACGCGCTCTTCCGCCGCCTGGAGGACGAGCTGAAGTACTTCAAGGGCGACCTCACGCGCATCTTCGTATACGGCAAGTGGCACGACATCCCACGCCAGCAGGTAACGCTAACGTTGCCCCTATCCCTTATTTATTTTCTTCTCAAATATCTACTTTTCGCTTAAATTTAACGAGCTCTTCAGAGAATCCCCAATTCTTAGTCTGAATCTCTTTACTGAAAACATTTTCCCTCTACTCCTCAATACTCCTCTACTAATCGCAATAAGTACCCATTATTTAAGTTTCATTCTCATAAGATTAGCGTTGTTGAGGACTCCATTCTTGAGACATCCAGATAGACTGAAAGCCAACTAAAAACTTGGTACTAGGCACACGATAAGCATAATCTCCATAAAAATGAACCACAATTCTTGCGCCTTAAATTAGCATTCACTCACGTGAAAAATATGACGTCTTCGAATGAGTACTGCGAGCACTCAAAGGCGTTTAAAGATGTGTATGCTTCCGCGGCCGGAGTACGCATTATCTGGACTATCCGAGATGAGTCGCGTCTCTGTCGTGGTGGCTGACGTTTCGGCCAACATGTTGTGGCCTTCCTCAGTACCCAGTACGCTCTCAGTCGCAATACGCAGTCCTCCTGCTTAAACATGTTCATGTTCCTTGATAAGTAAAAACTAATCTGTCACGAAATATTAGCGTGGTGTACGAAAATTAACCCCACCACACAGAAAATGACACGTTTTCGCATCAACGTGCTAAACATTTATCGACCCTGTGTATGTCTGGCACATTCGAGCTGTGTCATTTTAGTCACAAATAAGCAATTAAAAGGAATAATCAAACTGATGTCTGTTTTACCCACAATCACTGTTTTTAACACGTTCAAAATATGATGCTCCGCAAAGGCTTCACATTCATGAGTCTGGACACTAACTAACGCTCCCAATTATGTGCAGTATTGCCTGGGAAGCTATCCCACGATTTTTATATGTATTCCAGCCCATCACGATGTCCCAGAAAGTGCGCATCTAGGAACATTTTCGATATTAATTAGTCTGAATTTCGAATGTTGTATGCGTCTTAACTCATTATTTAAGGTGGTGAAAATTCACCTAATTAGATTACTGGGAGTGTTGCAGAATGAACGCCGAACGGTCCTGTAAAATCTGAACCGTCAAAATAACGCGAAAAATGACGAGAAAAACAAATCCATTAAGTGCGAACATAAGCATGCTAGATCATACATAATTTCTGTATCATCATAGATATAGTAGATCGTACATCATAGATAATTGTCTGATATTGGTGCAAATTTATCCTTTCATGAATGCTAGAAACGCCTGTTTGCGTACATTTCTCCGCGTTTGGATTTCGCAGTGATTAGGTATTAGTTGTTTTTTATATACTAGGTGTGGAGCTAGTATTCAAACGCGTAAGTCGTATCTGCTGCGTATGCTTTGTTTTAAATATTTAAATGTACGCAACCAGAGGAGGCCTTGTGCCCGGAGTTTGGCCATTAACGAGTACATCATTATCTTCATTTATTCATGTTTTGGTTGGTTGTTTATTGGCTCGGGGTCTGGTGCGGTTGTGACGCCCGTGTCGTGTGGCAGGTGTCGTTCGGCGATGAGGGCCTGAGCTACAAGTTCTCGGGGACGACGGTGCCGGCGCGCCCCTGGCCGCCCGCCCTGCTGCCGTTGCGCGACCTCGTCCGCCGCGTGGCCGGCGTGCACTTCAACTTCGTCCTCGTCAACAGGTACGCTCCGCCCTCGGCTTGCGTCCTGCAGGTCCTCAAAGCCCTTCAGTCGACAACTAAAGGGTATACCTTCGGACCTGGCTTTGTCAAGGGTCACGCCGCATTCCCGAAGAGACAATTACGTTTTCCCTTAAGTAGTTACGTCTCAATCGTCACTTACGAGACAAATTCAAAATAAATTATCGTTTCTAAAAATTAAAAACATCTATGTTCACTATTTTTCGATTTGTAAATTTCCCGTTCAAAGAAACTCGCGTCTTTGGGAACTTCAAGTTCTCAATGTAACATCCAAAGGTGTTCTGCTTTCTGTAAATATAGTGATGTTCAAAAAATGTAAACTGGCGTTTTATTGGTTTAATTACAAATTATGATGAAATTAATTAATCTGTTGCCTTGTTACTAATATTGCGGAACTTAATAAACTTGTTTGTAAAACAATTAACTTAATTTGCCAAGTTATTAATTTGCTTAAGAGACACCAAGTAATTGAAAGAAAACTGTACTAAAACATTGTTTGTTTCTTTTAAAAAATGTCGTGTCTGATAAAATAATGTAAAATATTGGGTGTATTGTTCTTTCATGGATCTCCCTCAGAGGGGCACCGTCCCAACCGGGACAAGCTCTGAGCTACCAACTGATCTCCCGACATGTATGTTTGTGTAGAACATGTAATGTAAGTGTATGTGTGTGTGTGTGTGCGCGCGCGCGCGTGCATGTGCCAGCACTTGGAGAGGATGCAATCCTTGGCCCGTTTATTAGGGCAGTGCTCCATCATTCGCCTGTTATTCTTCAGACAATCCACGAAAGACTAAGGATCAGAGCAACCGGTCCCTAGAATTCTCCTGCACGCGGTGGCTGCATTCGTTCCAGCCGTGTGTGTGGCGGCGCGGTGTGTTGCAGATACCGCGACGGGCGCGACCACATCGGCGAGCACCGCGACGACGAGGCGGACTTGGACCGCGGCGCGCCCATCGCGTCCGTGTCGCTGGGCCAGACGCGCACCTTCGTGCTCCGCCACGGCGACGCGCGTCGCCCGGGCCCTCGCCGGTCATGTCTATGTTCCTGAGGGTTTACCCTGTCACGATTTCCTGCGAAACAGACCCTCTTGTCTGGAGGTGTCCGTGGGCGCCGGACGGATGGCAGGGCAGCCGGCAGGGCGGGAGGGACCGGGGAGGGCCGGGGCGCGACGGGACGAAAGCAGGGCGGAGCGGGCGAGGGCGGAAGCGGAGGGCGGAGCGGGGCGAGCGGGGCGGAGCGGGGCCGGAGCGCGGGCCGGAGCGGGCGGAGCGGGCGCGGAGCGGGCGGAGCGGGGCGGACGGCAGGCGGAGCGGGGCGAGCGGGCGGAGCGGGCGGAGCGGCGAGAGACGGGCGGAGCGGGAGCGAGCGCGGGCGAGCGGGCGGGCGGGCGGAGCGCGGGCGGAGCCGAGGCGGAGCGGGCGAGCGGCGCGGAAGCGGGCGAGCGGGGCGGAGCGGCGCGGGCGCAGGCGGGGGCGAGCGGGGCGGAGCGGGCGGGTGAGGCGGGCGAAGCGGAGCGGCGGGCGGCAGGCGGGGGCGGTAGGCAGGCGGGCGCGTAGCAGGCGGGCGCGCAGGCGGGCGTGCAGCAGGCGGGGCGGAGCAGGAGTGGGCGGAAGCAGACAGTGCGGTAGGCCGTACGAGCGGCTGCGGCGACGGCGGGGCGCGGCGTCAACTGGTGCGGGAGGCGCTGCGGCGAAATGGGCCCGGGCGACCGCGCGTCGCCGTGGGCGGAGCACGAGGTCGCGCGTTTCTTGGCCCCAGCGGACACCGACGCGATGGGCGGCGACCGCGGTCAAGTCCGCCGCGTCGTCCGCGGTTCGCTCCCGATGTTGTCGCGCCCGCGTCCGCGGTATCTGCAAACACACCGCGGCCGGCCACACCCACACGCTTTGGGAACGAATTGCAGCCACCGCCGTGCAGGAGATATTCTAGGGACCGGTTGTCTGTCCTTAGTCTTTTCGCTGGAATTTCTGAAAGAAAATAACAACAGGAGGAATGGATGGGAGGAAGCAACTGCCCTAATAAAAAAAAACGGCCCCAAGGGATTTGGCATTTCCCTCTCCCCAAAAGTGCTTGGGGCGGCAACATTTGCACGCGGCGGGGCGCCCAAACACCACCCACAAACCCAACCAAAATCAAACACCAACAAAAAAACACACACACACACCCCCCTCCCACCAACACATAACCCACTTTTTTACATTACATTGTTCCTACACCAAAACATAACAGTCGGGGAGATCAGTAGTTAGCTCAGAGCTTGTCCGTTATCTTCCTCGA